TTTAGTGTCTTGAAGGGGGGCACAATACCACATACAGGGGGTCTAAGACATGTGATCACAGTGCCCTAAAGGGGGCACAATACCACATACTGGGGGTTTAAGACGTGTCATTTTAGTGTCTTGAAGGAGGCACAATACCACATACTAAGACATGTGATCACAGTGCCCTAAAGGGGGCACAATACCACACACTGAGGGTTTAAGACGTGTCACTTTAGTGTCTTGAAGGGGGGCACAATACCACATACAGGGGGTCTAAGACATGTGATCACAGTGCCCTAAAGGGGGCACAATACCACATACTGGGGTTTAAGACGTGTCACTTTGGTGTCTTGAAGGGGGCACAATACCACATACTGGGGTTTTAAGACATGTGATCACAGTGCCCTAAAGGGGCACAATACCACCACATACTGGGGGTTTAAGACATGTCATTTTAGTGTCTTGAAGGGGCACAATACCACATACAGGGGGTCTAAGACATGTGATCACAGTGCCCTAAAGGGGGCACAATACCACATACTGGGGGTTTAAGACGTGTCATTTTAGTGTCTTGAAGGGGGGCACAATACCACATACAGGGGGTCTAAGACATGTGATCACAGTGCCCTAAAGGGGGCACAATACCACATACTGGGGGTTTAAGACATATCATTTTAGTGTCTTGAAGGGGCACAATACCACATACAGGGGTCTAAGACATGTGATCACAGTGCCCTGAAGGGGCACAATACCACATACTGGGGGTTTAAGACATGTCATTTTAGTGTCTTAAAGGGGGCACAATACCACATACAGGGGTCTAAGACATGTGATCACAGTGCCCTAAAGGGGCACAATACCATATACTGGGGGTTTAAGGCGTGTCATTTTAGTGTCTTGAAGGGGCACAATACCACATACAGGGGTCTAAGACATGTGATCACAGTGCCTGAAGGGGGCACAATACCACATACTGGGGTTTAAGACATATCATTTTAGTGTCTTGAAGGGGGCACAATACCACATACAGGGGTCTAAGACATGTGATCACAGTGCCTGAAGGGGGCACAATACCACATACTGGGGTTTAAGACGTGTCATTTTAGTGTCTTGAAGGGGCACAATACCACATACAGGGGTCTAAGACATGTGATCACAGTGCCCTAAAGGGGCACAATACCACATACTGGGGGTTTTAAGACGTGTCATTTTAGTGTCTTGAAGGAGGCACAATACCACATACTAAGACATGTGATCACAGTGCCCTAAAGGGGCACAATACCACACACTGAGGGTTTAAGACGTGTCACTTTAGTGTCTTGAAGGGGGCAATACCACATACAGGGGTCTAAGACATGTGATCACAGTGCCCTAAAGGGGCACAATACCACATACTGGGGGGTTTAAGACGTGTCACTTTAGTGTCTTGAAGGGGGCACAATACCACATACAGGGGTTTAAGACATGTGATCACAGTGCCCTAAAGGGGCACAATACCACATACTGGGGGTTTAAGACGTGTCATTTTAGTGTCTTGAAGGGGGCACAATACCATACAGGGTCTAAGACATGTGATCACAGTGCCCTGAAGGGGCACAATACCACATACTGGGGTTTAAGACGTGTCATTTTAGTGTCTTGAAGGAGGCACAATACCACATACTAAGACATGTGATCACAGTGCCCTGAAGGGGCACAATACCACATACTATGGGGTTTAAGAGGTGTCACTTTAGTGTCTTGAAGGAGGCACAATACCACATACTAGGGGTTTAAGACGTGTCGTTTTAGTGTCTTGAAGTGGGCACAATACCACATACTGGGGGCTTAAGACGTGTCATTTTAGTGTCTTGAAGGGGGGCACAATACCACAAACAGGGGGTCTAAGACATGTGATCACAGTGCTCTGAAGGGGGCACAATACCACATACTGGGGGTTTAAGACGTGTCATTTTAGTGTCTTGAAAGGGGCACAATACCACATACTAAGACATGTGATCACAGTGCCCTAAAGGGGGCACAATACCACATACTGGGGGTTGAAGACGTGTCATTTCAGTGTCTTGAAGGGAGGCACAATACCACATACAGGGGGTCTAAGACATGTGATCACAGTGCCCTAAAGGGGGCACAATACCACATACTGGGGGTTTAAGACATGTCATTTTAGTGTCTTGAAGGGGGCACAATACCACATACAGGGGGTCTAAGACATGTGATCACAGTGCCCTAAAGGGGCACAATACCACATACTGGGGGTTTAAGACATGTCATTTTAGTGTCTTGAAGGGGGCACAATACCACATACAGGGGTCTAAGACATGTGATCACAGTGCCCTAAAGGGGCACAATACCACATACTGGGGTTTAAGACATGTCACTTTAGTGTCTTGAAGGGGGCACAATACCACATACAGGGTCTAAGACATGTGATCACAGTGCCCTAAAGGGGCACAATACCACACACTGGGGGTTTAAGACGTGTCATTTAGTGTCTTGAAGGGGCACAATACCACATACAGGGGTCTAAGACATGTGATCACAGTGCCCTAAAGGGGCACAATACCACCACATACTGGCGGTTTAAGACATGTCATTTAGTGTCTTGAAGGGGGCACAATACCACATACAGGGGTCTAAGACATGTGATCACAGTGCCCTAAAGGGGGCACAATACCACATACTGGGGGTTTAAGACATGTCATTTTAGTGTCTTGAAGGGGGCAATACCACATACAGGGTCTAAGACATGTGATCACAGTGCCCTAAAGGGGCACAATACCACATACTGGGGGTTTAAGACGTGTCATTTTAGTGTCTTGAAGGGGGCACAATACCACACAGGGGGTCTAAGACATGTGATCACAGTGCCCTAAAGGGGCACAATACCACATACTGGGGGTTTAAGACATGTCATTTTAGTGTCTTGAAGGGGCCACAATACCACATACAGGGGGTCTAAGACATGTGATCACAGTGCCCTGAAGGGGGCACAATACCACATACTGGGGGTTTAAGACATGTCATTTAGTGTCTTAAGGGGGCACAATACCACATACAGGGGTCTAAGACATGTGATCACAGTGCCCTAAAGGGGCACAATACCATATACTGGGGGTTTAAGGCGTGTCATTTTAGTGTCTTGAAGGGGCACAATACCACATACAGGGGTCTAAGACATGTGATCACAGTGCCCTGAAGGGGGCACAATACCACATACTGGGGGTTTAAGACATATCATTTTAGTGTCTTGAAGGGGGGCACAATACCACATACAGGGGTCTAAGACATGTGATCACAGTGCCCTGAAGGGGGGCACAATACCACATACTGGGGGGTTTAAGGCGTGTCATTTTAGTGTCTTGAAGGGGGCACAATACCACATACAGGGGTCTAAGACATGTGATCACAGTGCCCTAAAGGGGCACAATACCACATACTGGGGGTTTAAGACGTGTCATTTTAGTGTCTTGAAGGAGGCACAATACCACATACTAAGACATGTGATCACAGTGCCCTAAAGGGGGCACAATACCACACACTGAGGGTTTAAGACGTGTCACTTTAGTGTCTTGAAGGGGGGCACAATACCACATACAGGGGGTCTAAGACATGTGATCACAGTGCCCTAAAGGGGGCACAATACCACATACTGGGGGTTTAAGACGTGTCACTTTAGTGTCTTGAAGGGGGGCACAATACCACATACTGGGGGTTTAAGACATGTGATCACAGTGCCCTAAAGGGGGCACAATACCACATACTGGGGGTTTAAGACGTGTCATTTTAGTGTCTTGAAGGGGGGCACAATACCACATACAGGGGGTCTAAGACATGTGATCACAGTGCCCTGAAGGGGGCACAATACCACATACTGGGGGTTTAAGACGTGTCATTTTAGTGTCTTGAAGGAGGCACAATACCACATACTAAGACATGTGATCACAGTGCCCTGAAGGGGGCACAATACCACATACTATGGGGTTTAAGAGGTGTCACTTTAGTGTCTTGAAGGAGGCACAATACCACATACTAGGGGTTTAAGACGTGTCGTTTTAGTGTCTTGAAGTGGGCACAATACCACATACTGGAGGTTTAAGACGTGTCATTTTGGTGCCTTGAAGGGTGCACCGTCGCTCTTCTAAAGGACATATCATACAACATGCATACTTATGTCATTAGGAAGGGAAATATAACCAAACATAGAGACTGGTAGGCTGGTGTCAATGTAAAGCCTTGGCCATCAATATGTATCATTCACAAAACCCTGATGGTATGTGTCATTTTCTTTATTCAACATTTATGTAAACAGAGATATAAGTATAAATGGAGTATTAATATATATCATGGATGAAACAATAAATGAATTAAAAACATAACATAAGAATTTACTATTGCATAATCCCCTCATCAAGCACCAGTATACACAAGGCTGTATAACATCCTGGTCAGTTTCATCTCGCAGGAACATATGATTTAATAAGAATGTAAGACATTGCAAATCCATGGTGAGTTGGATACATATAAATCTGCATCTTCACACTGGTATGATGGAGTGAGTGAGTTTAGTTTTACGCTGCACTCAGCAACATTCCAGGTATATGACGGCGGTCTGTAAATAATCGAATCTGGACCAGACAATCCAGTGATCAACAACATGAGCATCGATCTGCACAATTGGGAACCGATGACATGTGTCAACCAAGTCAGCGAGCCTGACCACCCGAACCCGTTATTCGCCTCTTACGACAAGCATGGGTTACTGAAGATCAATATTCTAACCCGGACCTTCACGGGTAGTGTGATGGACAGGTGTGATGGACAGGTGTGTTGGACAGGTGTGATGGACAGGTGTGTTGGACAGGTGTGATGGACAGGTGTGATAGACAGGTGTGTTGGACAGGTGTGATGGACAGGTGTGATGAACAGGTGTGTTGGACAGGTGTGTTGGACAGGTGTGTGACTGTGAGGTGAGTGAGTGAATTGGGTTTTACATGATTTCAGCCATATTCCTGCAAAATTATGGTGTCTTCTGAATTGAGTTTCATGATGATTAGATGCACATTCAGTAAGGGTGTTTTCTATATCTATATGGTGTCTTCTGAATTGTGTTTCATGATGATTAGATGCACATTCAGTAAGGTTGTTTTCTATATCTATACGGTGTCTTCTGATGTAAATAAATCTGAGTGAACATAGAGGCCTGTTCAGGTCAGGAATGAGAGACAAAATGTTCCTGGAAATTCAGCACTTGAATTAGTTAGATATTGCTTACACATATTCTTCAGAATTATGGCACAGGAGGTTTCTTTAATACAAAGTATACATACTGATAGTATCAGAAATACTTGTATATGGGAAGAGCTACTGATTATGGAGAAGGGAGACAACTCTTGGTCACACAAGGAAGACTTGTCCCGAGAGGGCTGTACTTCTGTGGATGACCAGATGCTTCACCATAGCTGAAACTGCTTCACAGCCTTCTGTTGTCTGAAATACATATCAATGTATGTATTATTATTCAACTATCTTTCCTCCATTTATTGTTGAGATGGTAAAAACAGACAGATGTTTTGGACTGTATAAACCAGAGACTCTCCTTGAGTGGATGGGTAAGTGCAGTTTTAAACCACTTTAGCAATATTCCAATGATATCATGGTAGGAGACACCAGAATTGGGTTCCACAGGTTGTACACATGTGGGGAATCGAACCTGATCCTTGGCATGACAAGCAAAAGTTTTTACCACTAGGTTACCCCATCGCCGCCTCTCCTTCAGAGACCCGTGAAGATCCGGAGTAGAATAGGTCTTCAGCAACCCATGCTTGTCACAGAAGGTGACTATGCTTGCCGTAAGAGGCGACTAACGGGATTGGGTGGTCAGGCTTGCTGACTTGGTTGACACATGTCATCGGTTCCCATTTGAGCAGATCGATGTTCATGATGTTGATCACTGGATTGTCTGGTCCAGACTCGATTATTTACAGACCACCGTCATATAGCTGGAATATTGCTGAGTGTGGCGTAAAACTAAACTCACTCACTCACTCACTCTCCTTCAGAGTATGGTGGTAGGGGTCTATCTAATGTATTAAACCTGTCATTAATAATGTACATTGCAATCTTATCATGCTAATTGGCTTAAAACATTGTTCAGTGTGATTAGATCCTGCAAATTCTTCTGCAGTGTATGAATACATTTCTTGATGTATATATCCTTTTCTCAATCCCAAATTTACAACAAAAAGGCTCTTGGCGAAATGGAGTATTATATTTCATAAGTAGTAATGTTGATCAATATCTACCATACCTGATTCTGCTAACCAAGCCAATTGAAATGTGGTAGCAAGTATATTACATAGACCTTTATATCATGATGACGTTCCAGTCATGTCAATCTCACAACTGTTAAAGTTCAAAAAAGGAGAGAGTACTGCAGAACATTTTTGATAACTTGAAATACCTGAGCTAGAACAGCATACACCATGAAATGCTGACCCTTCAGCTGGATGGCCAGTTGCTTGAAGTGAACACTCAGTTGGTGATGCTGGTCGGACACCTGGGTTGGTTCAAGCATGAACACGTGAATGTGGCAGTGGTCAAACAATAGCCGGTCACCACATGGATGGGTGGCCGGATTCAGAGCTGACCGGTTAGAGGGCAGCGAGGAGTGGATGTGGATGAAGGTGTTGGCATGTTCACTGTGAGACTGTGTGATTATCTCCGACGTGACTTTAACCTACAGATAGAGCATCACATGTATCCATGTACTTAAACTATCACCCAGTTATAACCACAACCCAAATGATTTCAATTTAAGGATAGTGACTGGTGCTGAGCTGAACCCAGATCACTGTGATCCTGACAGAAATAAGAACCTTTGGTGTGAAACACTTTGGGTCTCCCACAACCAAGTTGAAAGCAGCCAGACCCACTGAATCAGTTATAGCCACCATCCTCTTGGACAGCAAAGACATAATACATAACATCAACAACTATAAATGGTGAATGTTTGCCAACTTATTGAAATGAGTGAGTTTAGTTTTATGCTTCACTCAGCAATATTTCAGCTATATCATCAACAGCAGAAGCATCCATCTACACAATTGGGATACAATGACATGTGCCAACCCAGTCAGTGGTTGACACCCGATCCCATTAGTCGCCTCTTACGATTAACATGGGTTACTGAAGATGAATTCTAACCCAGATCTTCACGGGTAACTCATTGACAAGATGGCAACAACTGAATAACAAGAAGCATTTCAGCTGACACTGAGTGACATAGTGTCCCTCTCTATCAGGACAATGCTGTTGTTTACACCATCCATGTTGCAATTGCTGCTGTGTGGAAGTGTGGATACTAGTCTCTAATCAACTGTCATATAAAGAAGCCGTTGTCTTGACAAGAACCAACCTTATTCCTCGTAGCATTACAGTACACTGTTTTCCATGTGCTCGGCTCACATACACATCCCATAATAATCATCTGCAGGGGGCATAACTCTTGTATGGATACCTGCTCTAAACTGGCCAATACTGACACCCATCTCCCTTCTTCTTCAGATATGGCCATTAGTGATTACCACCTAATTGTTAGATCAGCATTCTAGAGGTTGGTGTGGCAATAATTAAGTATACAACTTTAAGGATAATAAACAAGAAGTTGTTATCCATAATGCTGTATGCTTCTTTATTGATTACCAACTGTTTTCAAATTAAAATAAACCAAACACAATGATAACTGACCTCTATAAGAGACGGAACAAAAATCAGGGGTGAGAATGAAGTTTTGGGAAAAACTCTGAAAACTAGCAGGGGGTTTAGCATCTATCGGATTTAGACGATTCACAACAATGACCCTTGGTCTTATGAAATTCCCGGAATTCCGCGGAGCCGCGGAAAATTCTCATCCCTGAAAAATACAGCAATGAGACTATGTTAAAAGATAAATAAAACTCCAACAATATTTCACTTTGTGTTCACTGAGCTAAAGAATTTTCATAAACCCTTGTAATTTGCAAATACACAATTGTCCCAGAATGTTCAAATGTTACTTCTCCCTTCCTCACCTGCTCAGATCTCACGGCAGTACACAGCTGTCTCTCAAGGGTATCCACTAACACATCTTGTCCAGCTGTGGCCAGTATGGCTACTTGGAGAAACTGTTCTGTGGAGATATACACACTACTGTTAACATTGTTACAAGGTTTCAGATCAGTGCATTTTCTCTGTCATTGAATGAGTGTCCTCTACATCTCCTGAAGATATATTTCAGAGGTATGGAAGAAACTGTTATCAAAATTTTGTGAAATCATGAAAGTAACATTTGAATAAAAGTATTGCTGTTATATCTTAAATACAATGATATCTGTTGCAGACACTGGACTGAAAAATGTCCTCTGAGTAAGTCTTTATAGATCTGGGGTGGTGGGGTATCCCACCGGTTAAATCATTCGCTTGTCACACCAAAGACAAGGGTTAGATTCCCTACATGGGTACAATGTGTGAAGCTCACTTCAGCTGTCCCTGCCGTGATATTGATGGAATATTGCTTAAAGCGGTGTAAACCCCAACTCACTCACTCACTATATAGATAATGACGAAATACCTTTCAGCATTGCTTCTGCTGCATGTAGATCCTTCTTGTGTGTCACCTGGGCAGAAGGAAACAGTACAAGTCAGGAAGTTAATCAATACATAACAAAATCTAATCGTTCAGACTGTTATGATTAGCATGATTGAAAAACTTCCTTCTGCCATACAAGTTTCTTGGTTAACAGGTGATTATTCTCAGTACTTTGAAAATACAGAAACTTTCAAACCTTGTCAGTCCTTGATGATATTTGCTTTAGAGGATAACACTTTCATAATATTCAGATCGGATATTATTGCACACAATATCCTGTATTGTTGTATTTTTAATACCACACTGGTGTTTATTTGTAGTACACTGTACTCTACTCCATGTCAACACTGACTCTACACCAGCATGTTGACATGCTCACCTTCCACAAGTAGGGCTTGCCGGCCACTATACACGCATTCACACCAGCGTACTTCTTGGCCAGCAGAAGACACTCAGTACCATAGTCAAAATCAAAGTCGGTACTCTGTCAATAAAAACAGTTAATGACAGACCAACAACAGGACATAAGCTCACTTGACCGTGAGTGAGGAGAGATAAGCTGTACCTAAAAAGATAGGTGCGTAGCAATGAAAAAATACAGTAATTGACACAATGGAGTTAAGTCAGTGATGTTTATATTGAAATAGGTTTCTCTTCCCCCTCTGCCTATACGCATTTTTGGGCATGTAAATCCATAAATTAAGACACGCCCACTTTCCATTTTAAATGTAATTATGCTTTAAACGTTATATATGTAGAGCGTTCTTGTGTGATACAAGACATCTGTTTATTGAAATAAACATCCTGTATTCCTGTGTTATGTTTATCTACTTGTATGCCTGTTTAATGTGGATACTGGAAGACCTCTGGCATCTCATTCACAGCATACAGAGGGAATATCTAAATTCTTATCAGCGTTATGATTAATGCCTCATCATGCTTATAGTTCTGTTTGATGACGTAATCCTTACGGAATCAGTGTTATCATCTGTATTATTACCTTCTCGTAGGCCTGTTTAATGACATGATACTTAAATCCCTGCGGCATTTCGCTCGCAGCGTACTGACTTCTGTCCAAGGACTCTGTCAACATCCCGTCAGAATCTGACGCAATCACCGTGGATATGAGGGGTCGGGTGACTCCTGATGCCTGACAGAATAACTATGTCTTAATAACAGCTTAATAACTTAATACCACATACTTTCAAGCATGGGGAATAACAATTAAATTCAAGTAAAAACATCCAGTTTTAAATAACACTTTGTCAGGAGACTGCGAACAAATCTACTGTACTGCGTGAATGGATCGCAGTGTGGTGGCTGATATACATGTGATGTCAATATATACACGTTCACTTACAACATGCGTTATTGAGCAACAGAGTATGGTCTTATGCAGCTTGTGGCATTATCCATACAATATCATAATTCAGTGCAACAGAAATAAATACATTGTACAGATGGGTAAACTGAACCTGGGCCTTTGAATGAACTGTTTAACAACTAGGCTTCCCTAATGTCCTAACATATTGAGGATTATTTAGTACAGGAAAGAACATTACCCCATGTTTGTGAGCAGCCAAGGCAATGTCTCGGATGAGGATCTTCTTCACCAAATATTCTAACTGCATCATGAATCAAGACAACATCTGGTGCACTGCATACTGAAACAGTCAGCATGGATCTGTGGGTTACCGTGGTTACTGCCATGTTATATTACAATAATCACAGATTTTATACTTGCAAAAACATCATCAAAATCAGATGAAACTGTTTTAAATTTTTATGCTTCTTAATGTTTGACATCAAACAAGGAAATATGACAAAATGTATCAAATCAATGTGGTAGTTATGAGAATAAATGATCAAACTTATAGCAGACTTTTTATTATTTGAGCATGTTGGGTGTTTAAAAGCAGTAAGTGACAATGGTTATGATCAGAACAAGGAAAAAAGTAAGGGAATCTGAGAAACACTTGACCTCTGCCTTTAATCCATTTGGTCATTCACAAGCCACATTGTTACCATGGATACAGCCATAGCGGTTTCATGCACTCTTGTTATCACAAAATAAATCAAATATGGTCATCTGCTTATCCTTCTATCTCACAATGCTGACCTGACGAAAGATTTTCATGTTTTTCTGTCATTCCTGAAACAGTATTAATACTGCATAGTTTCAATCAATTTAACATACCACCTGAAACAGCCTTGATGCCATTGTAGATAGATCTGTGCCTGGTTGGGGACCCAGCAACAACAGTGACCTTGTGGAGGTTGTAGTCTGTTACCAGCTGGAGCATCATGTCCTTGCAGCTCTCCGACACTGTCACAATGATGAACTTGATCCATGGCAGCCTGTCTTATACATACTCAGAAGTCAACAGTTGGAAACTGAGAAGTCATTATACCTCATACTTCACAGATAATATACATTATGTTATGTTTATGAGACTAATCATGTTTACAATACATCATGAGACATTTTTTTCAGAGTTGCTGTAATATTGTTCGTCTGTGTGTGAGATATAGAAGATGCTTTGTGTGTAGAGAACAAACCAATGGTGTGTTCAACCCTGCTAAAGGCGAGTCTGTGTGTGAGATATAGAAGATGCTTTGTGTGTAGAGAACAAACCAATGGTGTGTTCAACCCTGCTAAAGGCGAGTCTGTGTTTGAGATATAGAAGATGCTTTGTGTGTAGAGAACAAACCAGTGGTGTGTTCAACCCTGCTAAAGGTGAGTCTGTGTGTGAGCTGTAGAAGATGCTTTGTGTGTAGAGAACAAACCAGTGGTGTGTTCAACCCTGCTAAAGGTGAGTCTGTGTGTGAGATATAGAAGATGCTTTGTGTGTAATGAACAAACCAGTGGTGTGTTCAACCCTGCTAAAGGTAAGTCAGTGTGTGAGCTGTAGAAGATGCTTTGTGTGTAGAGAACAAACCAGTGGTGTGTTCAACCCTGCTAAAGGTGAGTCTGTGTGTGAGATATAGAAGATGCTTTGTGTGTAATGAACAAACCAGTGGTGTGTTCAACCCTGCTAAAGGTGAGTCTGTGTGTGAGATATAGAAGATGCTTTGTGTGTAGAGAACAAACCAGTGGTGTGTTCAACCCTGCTAAAGTCGAGTCTAGTGTTTGAGATATAGAAGATGCTTTGTGTGTAGAGAACAAACCAGTGGTGTGTTCAACCCTGCTAAAGGTGAGTCTGTGTGTGAGATATAGAAGATGCTTTGTGTGTAGAGAACAAACCAATGGTGTGTTCAACCCTGCTAAAGGCGAGTCTGTGTGTGAGATATAGAAGATGCTTTGTGTGTAGAGAACAAACCAATGGTGTGTTCAACCCTGCTAAAGGTGAGTCAGTGTGTGAGAGCTGTAGAAGATGCTTTGTGTGTAGAGAACAAACCAGTGGTGTGTTCAACCCTGCTAAAGGTGAGTCTGTGTGTGAGCTATAGAAGATGCTTTGTGTGTGTAGAGAACAAACCAGTGGTGTGTTCAACCCTGCTAAAGGTGAGTCTGTGTGTGAGATATAGAAGATGCTTTGTGTGTAGAGAACAAACCAGTGGTGTGTTCAACCCTGCTAAAGGTAAGTCTGTGTGTGAGCTATAGAAGATGCTTTGTGTGTAGAGAACAAACCAGTGGTGTGTTCAACCCTGCTAAAGTCGAGTCTGTGTTTGAGATATAGAAGATGCTTTGTGTGTAGAGAACAAACCAGTGGTGTGTTCAACCCTGCTAAAGGCAAGTCTGTGTGTGAGATATAGAAGATGCTTTGTGTAGAGAACAAACCAGTGGTGTGTTCAACCCTGCTAAAGGTAAGTCTGTGTGTGAGATATAGAAGATGCTTTTAGTGTGTAATGAACAAACCAGTGGTGTGTTCAACCCTGCTAAAGGTAAGTCTGTGTGTGAGCTATAGAAGATGCTTTGTGTGTAGAGAACAAACCAGTGGTGTGTTCAACCCTGCTAAAGGTAAGTCTGGTAAGTCAGTGTGTGAGATATAGAAGATGCTTTGTGTGTAGAGAGAACAAAACCAGTGGTGTGTTCAACCCTGCTAAAGGCGAGTCTGTGTGTGAGATATAGAAGATGCTTTGTGTGTAATGAACAAACCAGTGGTGTGTTCAACCCTGCTAAAGGTAAGTCTGTGTGTGAGCTGTAGAAGATGCTTTGTGTGTAGAGAACAAACCAGTGGTGTGTTCAACCCTGCTAAAGGTAAGTCTGTGTGTGAGATATTGAAGTGTTGTGTAAACTACATAACAGGACACAATTTCTAGTTCTGGTTCGTTTCCTTGACCGCTCAGTGGTCCAGTCGATAAAGGGGCTGGTAGATTCTCAGGTGCTTCATTCGAAAGGACTATATAAGATGGTTGTTGTTGTTGCTTACTTGCCTGTTGTTCAGCATTAAGTGAATAAAACAATGACTGGTCTACTCAGAATCAGGAGTGGTTGGGTAGCCTAGTGGCTAAAGTGTTTACTCATGCCAAAGACCCAGGTTTGATTCCCTACGTGGTACAGTGTGTGAAGCCCATTTCTGGTGTCCCCCGCCGCGCTGTTGCTGGAATATTGCTAAAAGTGGCATAAGACCATACTCACTCACCAAGAGTCAGTATTCTGTTTCTGTGTGCGAGTGAGTTAGTATGATTTTGCACTGGTTTTAGCAATATTCCAGCAATATCATGACAGGCGACACCAGAAATGGGCTTCATATATTGTACCCTTGACTTGATCATTTTCAGGCCACAGTCATAAAACTGGAATATTGCTGAACGCACTGTTCAGAAACACATGGTTGTACTCCATCTGTATTTGAGATAGAACTCATTCATTGCAGTTATTCCTTTTTCAGAGCTCATTAACAAGCTGAAGAAACATAAAGAGGAGGAGGAAAGTGATTCTGATGCAGAGGCGGCTGCTGGCTTGGCAGAGTGGAATCAGGTGGAGAAAGGGACATTACAGGAGGGGAGCCAGGAGGAGAGTGGCTCTGACAAGAGAGTGGCTTCTGGGGGTTGGAATCAGGTGGAGTAGAGGATGTGATGAGGTGGGGCCAGGAGGAGAGCGGCTCTGACAAGGGAGTGGCTTCAGGGGGTTTGTAATCAGATGGAGTAGGGGATGTGATGAGGGGGGAGCCAAGAGGAGAGCAGCTCTGACAAGGGAGCGGCTTCTGGGGGTTGGAATTAGGTGGAGTAGGGGATGTGATCAGGTGTCTCCAGGAGGAGAGTGGCTCTGACAAGGGAGTGGCTTTTGGGGGTTGGAATCAGGTGGAGTAGGGGGTGTGATGAGGTGGGGCCAGGAGGAGAATGGCTCTGACAAGGGAGCGGCTTTTGGTGGTTGGAATCAGGTGGAGTAGGGGGTGTGATGAGGTGGGGCCAGGAGGAGAATGGCTCTGACAAGGGAGTGGCTTCTGGGGGTTGGAATTGGGTGGAGTAGGGGATGTGATGGATGGACGGGGTCAGGTTGGTGGGGTGGTGTGTGTCTCCTTTGGAGATATGCACTGTGGTTGGTCTGTGTGGGATTGGCAGGTGTGTTTTCCATGGGGAGAAGTGCATTACCAGTAGTCAGAAATGAGATACAGGTGGTTTGGATAAAATGTAGAAGTAATTCAGAAAGTGAGAACAGTAATTCTTTCTTGAGATATAGTCTAGACTGTGTTTAATAGCTTCATTATAGAGATAACCTAGCTTTTGTTCAAAGCTTTAATTTGTAATTTACCAGTAGCTGAAGATAACAATGCTTATTGTCTGGGGTCAGAAGAGGATATTGACAGCAATGACCATGCAGAGCCAAGGGAGTGTCGGTTACTATGGTTACAAGATGTTTGTAGTCAAATATACAAAAACACTATGTAATGCTACCAATTACAAACAATTTACAGAGATGAAACATACTGCATTCTCAATAAAGGTTAGGTTATCTGTAGATGATTACCTTCGTTCTACCATGACAAAATGAAATACAAACTCTTTGTGTTAGCAGAGACACTGAGTGAAGTGGCATCCATAGTTTGAGAAAGTTTTTGATCTGAATTTAGGAAACAGTGAAACTAGCCTGTGAATGTATAGTGCTGAATATGCATTGTCGATTTACATCATACTGTATCTGAATATATTTCAGACATGGAAAGTTTGTAGTGTAGCTGGTAGCTTGAAGTAGGCACCTCTGAAGAACTTCACCATACCTCACAGTTCACCTTATCTCACTGTTATGACGTCACACAGCTCATTGTGTGAGGAAAGGACTTCACAGTCAGATACAGAAAGGCCATAACCTTTAAGCTCGCTGTTGCCCCCAAACTTTAAGTTATACTCAGCTGATTTCTATGATTTCTTTCCAGCATCTATCGCCACAATTACTTTGGTGTTTTGAAAGCTTGAAAGTAGGGTCCTTTCTACGTCTGACTGTGATGTCCTCTGCATCACAAAAGTGATGGCATCATAAAAGTGTGGTGAAATAGGAAACCTTGTCTTGTGGATGAGTTCTGGTGAAGTCTCAGCTTTACAGCTGATAATGTTAAGAGTTATGTTATCATACTTTGTAAAATATCACTTGAATTATTATGGTTTGTAGATAAAACTTGCATTTTCATACATTGTAAATAGACATTGTTCATGTGATGCATTGTAAGTAAACATGTGCATCATCAATAAATGGAATTTCCTATATGTTGGACTTGTCACTACTGTTGGACTTGTCACTACTGTTGGACGGCTGCTGCTACTGCTACTGTAACTGCCACTACTGCTGCTGTTACTGTAACTGCCACTACTGCTACTGTAACTGCCACTACTGCTCCTGTTGCTGCTGTAACTGCCACTACTGCTACTGTAACTGCCACTACTGCTACTGCTACTGTAACTACCACTACTGCTACTGTAACTACCACTACTGCTACTGTAACTACCACTACTGCTACTGTAACTACCACTACTGCCACTGTAACTGCCACTACTGCCACTGTAACTACCACTACTGCTACTGTAACTACCACTACTGCTACTGTAACTGCCACTACTGCTACTGTAACTGCCACTACTGCTACTGTAACTGCCTACTGCTACTGTAACTGCCACTACTGCTACTGTAACTACTGCTACTGTAACTGCCGCTACTGTAACTGCCACTACTGCTACTGTAACTGCCACTACTGCTACTGTAACTGCCACTACTGCTACTGTAACTGCCACTACTGCTACTGTAACTGCCACTACTGCTACTGTAACTACCACTACTGCTACTGTAACTGCCACTACTGCTACTGTAACTACCACTACTGCTACTGTAACTACCACTGCTACTGTAACTGCCACTACTGCTAACTACCGCTACTGTAACTACCACTACTGCTACTGTAACTGCCACTACTGCTACTGTAACTGCCACTACTGCTACTGTAACTGCCACTACTGCTACTGTAACTGCCACTACTGCTACTGTAACTGCCACTACTGCTACTGTAACTACCACTACTGCTACTGTAACTGCCACTACTGCTACTGTAACTGCCACTACTGCTACTGTAACTGCCACTACTGCTACTGTAACTACCACTACTGCTACTGTAACTGCCACTACTGCTACTGTAACTACCACTACTGCTACTGTAACTACCACTACTGCTACTGTAACTGCCACTACTGCTACTGTAACTGCCACTACTGCTACTGTAACTACCACTACTGCTACTGTAACTACCACTACCGCTACCACTGTAATGTAACTACCACTACCGCTACTGTAACTGCCACTACTGCTACCGTAACTACCACTACCGCTACCGTAACCGCCACTACTGCTACCGTAACTGCCACTACCGCTACCGTAACTACCACTTACTGCTACCGCCACTGCCACTACTGCTACCGTAACTGCCACTACTGTGGTAACCGCCACTGCTACCGTAACCGCTACTGTAACTGCCACTACTGTTACTGCCACCACCGCCACCGTAACCGCTACCACCGTAACCACCACTACCGCTACCGTAACCGCCAATTACCGTAACCGCCACTACCGCCACTGCAATTTCTGTAACCGCCACTACCGCCACTGTAACCGCCACTACCGCTACCGTAACTACCGCCACTACCACTACCGTAACCACCACTGCTACCGTAACCGCCACCACCGCTACTGTAACTACCACTACCGCTTACCGTAACTGCCACTACCGGGCTACCGCCACTTACCGCCACCGTAACTGGGCGCTACTACTACCGTAACCACCACCACTGCTACCGTAACCGCCGCTACTGCCACTGCCGCCACCACTCACTGCTACCGTAACCGCCACTACCGCTTACTGTAACCACCACCACTGCTACCGTAACCACCACTACTGCCACCACTCGTAACTACCACTACCGCTACCGTAACTACCACTACTGCTACTACCACTACTACCACCACTGCTACTGTAACCGCCACTACTGCTACTGTAACTGCCACTGTAACTGCTGCCACTGTAACTGCCACTACTGCTACTGTAACTGCCACTACTACCGTAACTGTAACTACCGCTACTGTAACTGCCACTACCGTAACCGCCTACCTACACTACTGCTACTGTAACTGCCACTACTGCTACTGTAACTCACCACTACTGCTACTGTAACTACCACTACTGCTACTGTAACTGCTACTGTAACTGCCACTACTGCTACTGTAACTGCTACTACTGCTACTGTAACTACCACTACTGCTACTGTAACTACCACTACTGCTACTGTAACTGCTACTACCGTAACTACCACTACGCTACCGTAACCGCCACTTACTGTAACGCTGCTGCCGTAACTACCACTACTGCTACTGTAACTACCACTACTGCTACTGTAACTGCCACTACTGCTACTGTAACTACCACTACTGCTACTGTAACTGCCACTACTGCTACTGTAACTGCCACTACTGCTACTGTAACTGCCACTACTGCTACTGTAACTACCACTACTGCTACTGTAACTACCACTACCGCTACCGTAACTGCCACTTTCACTGCTACTGTAACTACCACTACTGCTACCGTAACTGCCACTACTGCTACCGTAACTGCCACTACTGCTACTGTAACTGCCACTACTGTCATCACTGTAACTGCCACTACTGCTACTGTAACTGCCACTACTGCTACCGTAACTACCACTACTGCTACTGTAACTGCCACTGTAACTGCTGCTACTGTAACTACCACTACTGCTACTGTAACTGCCACTACCGCCACCGCCACTACTGCTACTGTAACTGCCACTACTGCCTGCCACTACTGCTACTGTAACTACCACTGTAACCACCAATTACTACCTACTACTGCCACTGCCGGTACCGTAACTACCACTACTGCTACTGCTACACTACTGCTACTGTAACTGCCACTACTGCTGTACTGTACTGCCACTACTGCTACTGTAACTGCCACTACCGTAACTGCCACTACTGTAACTGCCACTTACCACTACTACTGTAACTACCACTACCGCTACCGTAACTGCTGCCACTGTAACTGCTGCTACTGTAACCGCCACTACTGCTACCGTAACTGCCACTGCTACCAACTACCGCTACTGTAACTGCCACTACTGCTACTGTAACTACCACTACTGCTACTGTAACTGCCACTACTGCTACTGTAACTACCACTACTGCTACTGTAACTGCCACTACTGCTACTGTAACTACCACTACTGCCACACTAACTGCTACTGTAACTACCACTACTGCTACTGTAACTGCCATTACCACTATAACTGCTACTACCGTGTAACTGCCACTACTGCTACTGTAACTGCACTGTAATCGCCACTGCTACTGTAACCACCACACTACTGCTACTGTAACTGCCACTACTGCTACTGTAACTGCCACTACTGCTACTGTAACTGCCACTACCGCTACCGTAACTACCATACTGCTACTGTAACTGCTACTGCTACCGTAACTGCCACTACTGCTACTGTAACTCGCTAACTGCCACTGTAACTGCTACCGTAACTGCCACTGCTACTGCTACTTACTGTAACTGCCACTACTGCTACTGTAACTCACCACTACCGCTACTGTAACTGCCACTACTGCTACTGTAACTGCCACTACCGCTACTGTAACTGCCACTACTGCTACATTGTAACTCCAATTACCGCTACCGTGTAACTGCCACCGTAACCCCCACTACCGCTACTGTAACTACCACTACCGCTACTGTAACTGCCACTACTGTAACTGCCACTACTGCTACTGTAACTGCCACTGTGTAACTGCTACTGTAACTGCCACTACTGCTACTGTAACTGCCACTACTGCTACTGTAACTGCCACTACTGCTACTGTAACTGCTACTGTAACTGCCACTACTGCTACTGTAACTACCACTACTGCTACTGTAACTGCCGCTACTGCTACTGTAACTGCCACTACTGTAACTGCCGCTACTGCTACTGTAACTGCCACTGTAACTGCCAGTACTGTAACTGCCGCTACTACTACTGTAACTGCCACTACTGCTACTGTAACTGCCACTACTGCTACTGTAACTGCCACTACTGCTACTGTAACTGCCACTACTGCTGCAATGCAATGCAGTGCTACTGCTGCTGCTATCCAGGACCAACCCATGTCAACACTCTAACTTCAGATTATCACACAATAGCCCTATCTTCACAACAGAGCCCGAGCCAGTTTTCCCAGCCTTGGAGTACATTCAGCAACAGTCTCTTCATAAATAATTTATTTTCTGATTCCCTGTCATGTCTTTAGGCAATTAAAACATGGCTTCAGACCATCCCATCATCTTGGATGTATTGGAACCATTCAATGATCTTGCCAATACGACATTGCCTTTTGTTGGTTTCCCAGCCATGTTGACATGATGGGTAACACCTTGGCTGATGATGTCGTGAAAGCAGTGCTCAACTAATCTGTGACACCACTTCCTCTTCCATTCAGTTTTTGCATCCTCTGCAGTGAGAGAATCATGGTCAAACATATTTATCTTGACAATGTAGATTTATTTCTCACAAGGGATACATTTATCATTCAGTTTCTATAGATGGTCTTTTTAGTAATGTCAATGCTCTTTAAATTCTTAGATTTTCAAAAGAAATTGAACTATAAAAATACATGATATATTTTGAATTGCTAATATCTATTTTAAAGATAAATATGATCAGCAACTGAGATTACTGTTGGTAGTGACACCCAGAGGGTTAATGTAAGGTAAACATATAGTCTTTCCCAATTCAGACTAGTATTTTAGAACTTTGACTGTCTTGTGTGTATTTAATATTGGCGTTGGCTCGTCACGCCGAGCCAGGGTAACCTGGGCAGCTAATGTTGCTAATATTGCTAAAAGCGGCGTAAAACCAAACTGATTTCACAAAACCTGCTAAAAAATCACATTTGAAGCCCAGAAACTACTAAGTCCCCATGATCCCATGTTAGGTTTTCTAAACTTGATTATTGGTGGTCTATATCATTTTAATTGATAGGACTAAATTTCTTTTCTTATTGTTTTCTATGTGCTTTTAATTTTGATAAGGTTGGTTTTAGGTTTGAACTGGATACACATTTCCGTCTTACTGTCCCTTGCCGACAGATCTTTTAAAGTTAACAGGTTGTTCTCATCGCGTTATGGCTGGCGGCAGGGTAGCCATTTGCTCGTTACGCCGAA